TTTTATATGATCACAGAACTTAAGAATTACAAGGGGACCTGAGAAGTTATCTATTCTTATTGTTCTTCCGGTGCAAACATGCATTTTATGATACTGGAGACAGCTGGTCCTATGTCTCCCATTGGTTTTCTCAATAGGGCGGTAACATCTCCAAATCTTCAAATAGGTACCTTTCAGTCTTACTGAACAAAGAAATCTTGTGCTAAAAATGAGGAATACAGTAAAATTAAATAACTGAAAATATGTTCTTGTTGCTCAAACTAGTTTTCTGTTGCTGTGCCAACAAGCTTGTGAAATATTCTAACATAAATTTTGCTCATTTAACAAAAGTAATAAAACTAAGTTCAAGAAAATACAGCTTAACACTACTAGTAAAAGAGAAAATATAGAGATCCCATCCCCAAAAAAAGAGACTTACAGAGTTTTTAAAAGCATGTTTATGTGACTGCACATAAATGTGTGTAAAAAGGGCATTATGACAGTTGATACCACAAAGATTACAGTAAGAAAAAAGCACTTTATGACAATATTTCACAAATTCACAAGGATCACTTTAATATACAAAGCAATTGCTACCATTCTGAACACAAAGCAGCTAATATGTACATAGTGTTAATAAAATGCATTATAACCCAGTACATTTTCTCTCTTTACACAGATAGAGCACAAAAAGATTTAGGTAAAAAAATTAAAACAGGGATGTTTCTAGAATGTAGGGAATTTTTTTAGAAATGTATTTCCCTCATTATAGTTTTTTATTTAGTATTCAACTCCAATAGCAACATCAGAGTTAAAAATCAATACCCTGTTTTGTGCTGATAGTTTTGGGGGGAGGTATTCTTTACCCCAATCCTCAAGGAAAAATTAAAACAAAAACCAAAAACATCTTTCTCTCTAGAAACTTCCCTGATTATTTTGTTTCTAAAAAGTTTCAAGTGATACATCTAGGTTAGAAATAATTCCTTTTGTGGGTGGGGATGACAACTGACATGTGGACAAATCAGTTGGGGAGAACTCTACATGGAAAACTGCTAACTAGCACTCTTCTTTGCCACCCCTAATAAATCCATACTCACAGAACAATGTTGACAAATTATTTTCCACTTTTAATATAAATAATTTTATTACATACACAAATTGGAGTGGCACCTGGATAAAAATACGTCTATAAAGCATTTACCAATTCAATTTTAAAAACATAAGAAAATAAAACCTCCCAAACACAATGATAGATCATTTCACTTGGCCAACTAACAGAAGATTATTATCTGCAGGGATTTTCTTCCTTCCCTACCAATTTTTAAACTGTCTCAGATTCACTCTCACATTTCTGAGATGCTCCTCAGACAGAAGCTTGGACATGCCATACTTCTGTAGGCAAGTATCATATAATGCCTATATAAAGTAGGTAAAATCTGAATTTCCTACTCTTTGACCCTTTTCAAAGACATTTCCCACAGATTGTTCATTTTTCTTTTACTTGCTGGTGAGAATAATTAAAAATGTATCATGTTACGCCCAGCTAGGACCTGCACCCACAGTACCAGAATGCCGACAGGTCAATATCTTCTCTCTGTGCTAAACAACTCTGCCTGTTTATAATATCATCTTGCTTCACAGGCTTTGTTCTATTTTTTTTTCTATTTTTATTTTTTTAAAAAATAAATTTCAAGCTAAAACACCTGAAATATAATCCCTCCATTCAAACGTTATCTGGTCCCTCTTAAAGTTTGTCTGCCCCCTGAGGACACATACAAAGGCTTAAGCTACATTCACTAATCAGTAAGAACTTATCAGAAGCATATGAGACAGATGGAACTTCAGCACCCTGTTTGATTTATTTGAAATTCTTCCATACTGACTCAGCTTCATGATATGTTCAACCCCTCAGGGATTAGTGCCTCTCCTAGCCATCGATTCGAGAAAGTCAAGGAAACCAGTTCCCAAGTACATACAGTGACTGTGCAGTCAACTTAAAAAAGTCAACATATCAACATTAAAAGTATTCAAGATGTATGCAAACCATCCAACAAAAGTTCTAGTTGTGCTTTGTACAATTGAGTGAGCAAACGCATCCCCCAACTCTTCACCTACAGTCTTGCTAAAGCACACGGCACTTTCTCCCTTCTCACCTGACATCAAATTTAGGCAGCATTTCTTTGATGTTAAGAAAGCCAATTTAAAGTGAAAAAAACTTTAGTCAAATGATTACATGTGGTCTCCATCATGACAGTAATTACTCTGAAAAATATTTTACTGTTCTGGACAAATTCATGGATATCTTGATATCCTATAGACAACATCAATGTTGGAAATAAATATCCATTCACTCGAGTTGCTTTTCCTTCTGTCTTTATCCATGATGAAAAAGAGTTAACACTGGGTCCAAACTCATCTTTTAATTAACTGGGCTAGTCAAATCTAATTTCCCATTATTTTTCTTTTACAGCTATTTATAAGACTAGCCTTTAGGTGCTAAAATATTTTAATGAAAAGTTTCCATTTAAAAAGTCACATGATTTGAAGAGAGGAGAAAGACATAAAAAGTCAGTTGACAATTAATTGATGAGGGAACTTCTCAAGTTGCTAATACCCAACTGGGTCATTTTTAAAAGTGCAAGTTACACCAAACATTTACAAAGAATACAATGTAAATATAATCCAAATAAATATACAACTTTTGTATTAGGTCACTGGGAAACAATATACCGAAAAGTTTTCAGAGCCACAAAGGCAACAAAATAAAGACTCTTGAAATAACTGAAAAGGTGTTTAACTATTGTTCTTATAACCCACTTTAATTCAAAATCTTAACTTTACCATATTAGCCTTATTTAATCCTGCAAAACAAAGCAGCCTTTTTGATCTTCAAATTAAAGAGACCAATTTATGCTAGTAGCTGACTGTAGCTGATCACAAAATTAAAAACATTTAAAAAATGTAAAGAAGAAATCTAGATTGAAGTCACTTCAAGTAAGTAAAAGCATCCTGGTTTAAACAAACTTGTTTCTTCCTAAGCCTTTGTATGATTCCACATGTCACCCCACGTGGTCAAAATGATAGTAGGGATGAGGCCTGAGAGAGACCGAGAGAAACTTCAGCCAGATGACCTCTGATCACACAGCCTGCCTGACTGGTGTGCGCTTTCAGACACTAGCGCTGCTGCTGACCTACCATCCAAAACAGATTTTCTGACAAAATCCCTGCTCAAATGAAAACACCAAAATTCCTCCCCCAGGATGAGTTTTGAAAAATCAGTGGTACCTTTTAGAAGCTATCTTCAAAATGTTCTTACCACTGTTATAGCTGCCAGAGACAAAGCATAAAAACCAAATACTTCAGGGGTGGGGGAGTTTTCAAGTGACTAGTAACAAATGTAAAAGTATCAAGCCAAAGAAAACTAACAATAAAAAAAAAAATACTTGGAAAAAATCAGAAGACAAAAATCAATCATGAGTGCTGGAGTAATGCAGTCCAAGAAACTACCAAAAGGGATGCAATAGAACACACAAAAATGTAAAATTTCATCTGACCTCAATATACTATAATACTCAGCATTCCTGACTTAAGAGCTCTCAGAGCTTCAGATTATATACTGTATGTATTTATATATATGTACACATATATTATACAAATGCCATTCCCCCCCCAATAATATCTAAATGAAAAGAGCACCTATGACAATATGATGGTTGCCAATATGGTACTTGAGTTTGAAAAGAATGAAATTAAAATTATATCTGATATCAATTTTTTAATAATGTGAACACATTGGATCTAGCCCTTTCTAAACCACTTTTCAGTTAAACACTATCAAAGCTTGAAAACTCATAAGAGTAATATATCAAAAATAAACCCCTCCCAACTTCATTTTTATTAGAGTTAATCTGTCCTATAGATAAAAGTGCCACATGGCCCTATATTTGCAAAGTAAGCGATACCAAACTTGCTATTTTCTAGGCAAATCAGTAGCATATGTACAGATTCCTATGATGACGTTTTCATTCCCTTTTGGCCAATATGAAGAGAAAAAACATTTATTACTGGTAATGTGGCCATATATTATTGTTCTTGGCTACAAGATTTTTTTTTACTTATGTCATTTTCTTAATAAAGATTCTCAAAGTTGCATGCTTTTTTAAAAACAAACACCCTTTTTCCAATTCTTGTAAAAAAAAAAAAAGTCTGCACAAAGATGCTTAATTTCTATCTGTATAAACTGAAATATCTTCAAGTCTCTTAAAAGGGTCTAAAACAGATTTAGCAAGAGAATATATTTCTTACCTCACCATGAAGTAACTGACTTCAAACCAGTGCAATCATCCTCAAGATACAAAGGACCTGGTATTTATAAAAACTTATAAATTCAACCAGCTCATACGGATGTGACTGCCTTGATTTATCGGGGACTAAGAGGACCATCAACTTTCCTAATTAAACAGAATGCCTCAACTTTTGGAAAACGGTTTACTTTAGAGAATACAACTTGCTAAATACTAGGCAATTTTCATTTATAAAGTTTATGACATTCAAAACATTTTGACTCATTAAGAATTCTAATTTGTGAACAGATTTGTGATTTTGCTTAGTTTCTGTTGAAGTTTTGGAAAATGACATATCTAAGCTGGTATACAAATAATTTTTATGCTACAACTTTCCCCATTAGCTCAGCAGGATAAACATCAAACTTTACAGCCGTTTGAAAGCCTTCTTGAGAATCTGGTGAATTGTCCAAATATAAGACTACAATCACTCAATTCTTAGAATGATGCTCCTTCATAAACTCTGTTCATCCTTGAAAAAAGACAATGGTTTGTTACAAACAAAATTATACCATATACAAATATTAATTAAAAACCTTACTTTTCAAAATGGACCCAATAACACCCATATCTGCATATTTTGTTAACGTATTAACAAACTTAATGTTTAAAAATAACCCATGACTAAATATAAAACATTAATTTTCTATACTCTTCTTTTAAAAGGAATAACCTTCTCAAATGAGAAATTATACCTAAGATTATGTCAGTCTCCAATTTTTACAATCCACCTTAGTCCTATTTTTCTTTTAAAGGGTAACTTCTAGATTTATCAAGCTTAGTGAATAAGATGAGTAATTAATAATTAGGAGTAGTACTGGAAACAATGTATGATACGTATAAATACAGACTGTTATAGTCAGGGATTCAAACAGGTAGCTCCTTTGTAGAATGACAAAGGCTATACAGCATATTGGAAAGCTAAAGCACAACTATCCTTTTTAGGAGAAAACAAACCAAAAAAATGTTTTGCAAAAAGGACAATCCAAATATTGTAGTACAGCAGTCATTCAAATATGTCCGAAGAAAATAACTTTCCTTGTGTACATCTAATACTGTACTTTTTGTAACTATATCCTTACAACTTCTTTCATTAAAAAATTCACCAGAGATACTCTTAAAGTATGTTAATATGGAAAAGATTTCAAATCAGTATTCTTCTACAACACATAACATTTTATAAACAAATATATCATTTTGTTTTATTTAACATCTTGAAGGCTTTCCTGTTGGTGGTATAATGTAAGTGCAAATGGGAACAGTTTAATTAGAAAAATCTTTTTAAGTAAATGAGTGACATAAATATTTTTTGAAGGCGATGACAAAAACATTTATTTAAAAACCTTGTTATATAACTCAAGGGGCTGGTTTACTAATGAGCATCTTTTTACTAAGAATTTAGTACTAACTAAAACAAGCTTTGTACTTTTATTTATTTCAGTTTAAAATTAAAATACCATGCTTTTTCATTCAGTTGGTTACTTCTTTTAATGTATTCAAAAATGTTGAACACATACAGAACTGAATTAAGAAGCAACAACTGCCTGTGGAAGAGCTATAGTTAATACAGAATGTTTTTAAGAACCAAGGACAAGTTTTCAGTATTGAAGAAGAGAATGTACATAGAAAGCACTCCGAATTCATTCTTAATTTCTTCAACACCATACTAAAATTCTTTTTTAGAGGGTATGTTTCTTAACAATTTTACATAATTCACAATGAAAATGTGAAAACATGTCAATTTGGCAATCAACACTTCTTCATTGCACCTTACTTACTTTATGCATGCGGCCCACACATTACTTCAGCTCAAGAGGCTGGGGTAATTCTGTCCCTAAGGCAATCAAGGAGCTCAGCACAAACCTTGAAATCATTTTAAAAAAGATTTTCTTTTCCTCATTTCCCCCATCAATTTACAAGTAAACAAATGATTACTTCTTGAAGAGGGAGGGGGATGAAAAGCAGAAGTCTCTTCATGATTCCTGGTGCTGAAAATTTCTTGAGGGGAGAAGTGGAGGCAGGTGTTGGAACATTCACAGTTTAATGCAAAAGCACAAATGAATGAAATTCTGTAGTTGCTTTCAGGCAGTTTTGCGCATAGAAAAAAAGAAATGTTTAGAAAATAAAATGTTTATTTCGTCTTTCTGGTTGTGGCCAAGCCAGTCCTTTTCCACCGTAACAGGTGAAATTTAAATCCCAAATTAATCTGATTTGTGGCAGTAAAGGTCCTTAAGTGCTTTTAGCTCCTCAATGAGTGTCTTATTTTGGTTTTCAAGCACTGCCACTCTGTTTTCTAAACATTTCACATATTCTTTCTTCTTTCTACGACACTCTCGTGCTGCTTCCCTATGAGCAAAAAGGACAGGAAAAATTATGCAACATTTATTTCTATATCATTTATTTTGGGCTAGAGTACTTTTAAATATTTAGCTCAAAGCAACAAATATTTTAATATATTATAGATTAGGCATTTGAAAAAACTATACAGAATGACTTGGAGATGGACTCATATAAAATTTTAATTTAATATACAAGTTTGATTAAAAAAAAAAAACCCAAATGTGAAAACCCCACAAACAATGTAAAGAGCTGAATCACTTAAAATTTAAAATTATCAGGGCGCCTGGGTGGCTCAGTCATTAAGTGTCTGCCTTCAGCTCAGGTCATGATCCCAGGGTCCTGGGATTGAGCCCCACATTGGGCTCCCTGGAAGCCTGCTTCTCCCTCTCCCACTGCCCCTGCTTGTGTTCCTCTCTGTGTGTCTCTGTCAAATAAATAAATAAAATCTTAAAAAAAAATTTTACATTATATCACTGCTTATTGATATGTTCTGTATCACACCTATAAAACTTGAAATTCTATCAGTAACTAGGAAAATACTAAGGCTAAATGTCAGAGTGAAAAACATCCTAAGTTAAATAGAAAAATCTCATCAATTCATCATTTCAGGGCATTAAAAAAACGTCTAACATGAGTCTCTTCCACAAATGATGTTGAGAAAACTGTATATCCACATGCAAGAGAATGAAGTTGGATCCTTACCTTATGCCATGTACAAAAACTACTTGAAAATGGATTAAAGAGCTAAATGTAAGACCTAAAACTATAAAACTTCAGAGGAAAACAGGGGAAAAGCTTCAAGACATTGGATTGGCAGTGGTTTCTTGCTGTGCCACCAAGAGGAGACAACAAAGCCAAAAATAAACAAATGGGGCCCCATCAAACTTAAAAACTTCTGTGCATGAAAGGGGACACAATCAACAGAGTGAAAAGGGAACCCATGAAATGGGGGAAAATATCTGCAAATCATATATCTAATAGGGACTTAATATCTAGGACATACAAAGAACTTCTACAACTTAACAAAATAACTCGATTAAAGAATGGGCAAAGGACCTGAATAGACATTTCTCCAAAGAAGGTATATAAATGGCTAATAAGCATATAAAAAGATGCTCAACATCAATCTAATTATTAGAGAAATGCAAATCAAAGCCACAATGAGATACCACTTCACACCCTTTAGGATGGCTACTATATTTACCCAAAACAAAATGAAAAACAAAACAACCCCCCAGCCAAAACCCAGACAGAAAATACTAAGTGTTGACCAGGATGTGAAGAAACGTGAACCGTGTGCCCTGTTCATGGGCTGTAAAATGTCCCAGCCACTACAGAAAATACTATATTCCTTAAAAAATTAAAAATAGTGTTACCCTATAATCCAGTAATCCAACTTTTAGATATATATCCAAAGAACATAGAACAGGATATTGAAGAGGTATGTGCATACCTATGTTCATAATACCATTATCCACAACAGCCAACATGTAGAAGCAACCCAAGTATTCATCAACACAGATGCATTTTTAAAATGTGTTATATACATACAAGAATATTATTCAGCCTTAAAAAAGAAGGAAATCACATCACATGCTACAACACAGATGAACCCTGAGGAAATAATGCTAATAAGCAAAATGAGCCAGCTACAAAAGACAACTGTATGATTCCACTTACATGAAGTACCCAAAGTATTTAAATTCATAAGAAAGTAGATGGTGATTGCTAAGGACTCCCAGAAAGGGAAAATGAGGGAATTTGTTTTTAATAGAGTTTCAGTTTTTCAAGGTAAAAAAGTTTCAGGTTTGCAAGGAAAAGTTCTGGAGATCTGTTGCACAACAATGTGAATATACTTAACACTACTGAACTGTATACTTAAAAATGGTTAAGATGGTAAATTTTTTTTACAATTAAAAACTATTAAACTATTTTAAAAAAATCTAGCAGATTAAGAACAAAAAATATTTTTTAGTGAGCTACAAAGTCTACACCGGTAAACATTTTTAGCTCTATATGAATAAGGACCATATATTATATCCCAAGTCACTAGCCAAGGGACTGGCACAAGGTAGGTCCTTATTCCTGAATGAACATAAGAGGTGAAAGCAAAAGGTTCTAAATCTTTAAAAAATGGAAAAAAGCAGCAACTTACAATCACTCATTTACAAGAGTGGCAGTACAGTACGGCATTTAAGAGTACTAGTAACTTCAGTGTCAGGTTCTTAGGTTTAAATGGTTACCTCTTACCAATTATATGACCGGAGGCAAATTACTTAACCTTAGTTTCCTGACTGCAAAACAGAGAAAATATTATCTACCTCAAAAGTTTTATGAGGATTAAAGGAATTAATATATAAGAAGTGCATGAAATAGTGGCTGGCATTTTGTAAATGCTATGTATGTGTTCGCTATAATTATTTCTAGATAACTCTAATGCCTTCATTAATGTCTTCATCCCCATACAGCCTATTGAGTCAGAAAAAAGAAGCAAGCTGACTTTTGGAATAAAAAAAAAGCTGCACCTAATGTTGTATTATCCATGACAGATATGGACAATATATAATCTACTGCATCACTGTACCACTGGTGAAAATTTTTTTTGGAAGGAATTAAAAATGGCCCAACATTCTAATGCACAGAGAAGATGACAAGCCAAGAAATGCTATGAGGCCACAAGTGATCTAAAGGATCACAGTGGGAATGATTCCGAGGTCAATCTGGATGTTCTGTATGTGGTGAAGTCTAACAATGTAAGAGCAAGTAGGATGTATGTACACACTTACAAATCTTTTACTCAGGGCTGAGTCATCTTGTTTTCCTTGCTTTCTCACCCATCATTTGAGAATTTACAGTCCACAAGTGCTCATACGAATGCTCTATCTACATGCTAGTTTCCAAAAGTTAAACTAATATGATCCCATAAGGTTAGTATCTACTAATTTTGCTCTAGCAAAATCAGTATGCTATAGTGTTGTTAAAGATTAGGTTTCTCGGGCGCCTGGGTGGTTCAGTTGGTTAAGCGACTGCCTTCGGCTCAGGTCATGATCCTGGAGTCCCTGGACTGAGTCCCGCATTGGGCTCCCTGCTCAGCGGGGAGTCTGCTTCTCCCTCTGACCCTCCTCCCTCTCGTGCTATCTCTCATTCTCTCCCTCTCAAATAAATAAATAAAATCTTTAAAAAAAAAAAGATTAGGTTTCTCAAAAGAAAAAAAAAAACACTAGACTAAGAAAATTAACTTATTTCTTTAATGTAAGACCTTTGATCCTTTAGATTTACTAAATGTGAATTGAGACTCTCTCCGGAGAGGAATTCTGACTAGCAACTTCCAAGCTGAGTATGAATATACAATACTTTTTTGGAGGAACACCAAATAAATTTCAAGTAATATACAGTCTTGCAGAATGATGCTTAAGTTAGGCACAGTTTAAAATAAACAACTTTGCGGGCACCTGGGTGGCTCAGTCAGTTAGGTGTCTGCCTTCGGCTGAGGTCATGATCCCACCGTCCTGGGATAGAGCCCCACATCAGGCTCCCAGCTCGGCGGGAAGCCTGCTTCTCCCTCTCCCACTCCCCCTGCTTGTGTTCCTACTCTCTCTCTCTCTGTCAAATAAATAAATAAAATCTTAAAAAAAAAAAACAACTTTGGATACAAACTTAATACAGTATGATATAATAGCAAGAATTCTAAACTGAGGATCAGAAACCTTGGGTTCAGATCCTGGCTTTGAAACTAACTAGTTGTATAGTTTCCAACAGGTCCCGAGTAAGAACTATTTTGTCATTTTTTTTTTTTTTTTTAAAGGACTAATCAAGATTTCTTTAACTAGGACTGTTAGGTTTGTATTAAGGAGTATGAAAAATCAGGGAATAAACTACAATGTCATTCTAAAGCACCAATTTTGCTTGATGGGTCAGAGGGGTGGCAAGCATTTTCATATTTATAAAAGCATTATTATAATTTGGAGTTGGATACAGAATACAAATGAGCTCTAAAAATTTTAAAGAAATCCTTAGCTTAGGGAATGCTACTTAAAGCTTCTCAAAAATTTCTAGCTAAATATTTAAAAAAAAAAAAAAGGAGGAAAATGAAAGGACTCTCCCAGCGGATTGGTCTGACAACATGGTGTGAAGATTAAATTGACCACTGATGTTTCTTCCAGTACAGAAACAGGATTTTATGATTTTAAGCATTCATGCCAACAGATGGCTTATAAATTCTGAAATTGATGTGATAGGCATATTTTTAGAAAAAAGTTCTTTCACATAATGTGTCTCAACATCCTCCTCCATTCACTGAACTAATTCTTTGCCTCTATATAGATACTCTTATATTCTCTCCATTTTCAGTGTCCTCCATTAATTCCAAACTACCTGATTTTTTTCTCTTTTACCTTCAAAGAAGTTTATCAATTGTACTTTTTTTTTAAACAACCAGTTTTTCGTTTCATTGATTTTCCTCTATTGGTTTTCTCTTTTCGGTTTTATTGATTTTAATTTGCTCTTTTTTTTCTAGTTTCCTAAGATGGAATTTAGGTTGGCAAACATTTTTTTGGTAAATATTTTTGGCTTTTTAGAACAAATGGGCTCTGTCACAACTACTGCTGTTGTAGCATGAAAGCAGCCTTGGATAGCACATATTTGAATGACCATGGCTATGTTCCAATAAAACTTTATTTATAAAAAACAGACAATGAGGTATAGTTTGCTAACCCCTGACATACATGATTGATTTAAGACTTTGTTTTCTAACGTAAGTATTTAGTGGTATAAATTTCTCTCTAAGCACTGACTGAACTGCTCCCACAAATTTTTGTCGTATTTTAATTTGCACTTAGTTCAAGATATTTCCTTTGAGGCTTCCTTTTTGACCTAAATGTTTGATACTTATTTAATTTCCACACAACTGGGGATTTTCCTGGATGCTTTATGGGCCAAGAACATATTTTGTGTTCTTTCTATTCTCTTAATAAGTGTCATAAAAATGCCATTAGGTACAGTTGGTT